CACTCACAAAGGAATTTTCTTCCCAATAGAACCATTCCTAGTAACAAAATTTGTATTATAGTTCACCAGAAAACAGAACCAATAAGGTGTGTGTGTGTGTGTGTGTGTGTGTGTGTGTGTGTGTATGCATACAGAAAGAGAGAAAAATTTATTTTAAGAAATTAACTCACACAGGGACCAGCAATTAGCATAACAGCTACGTCACTGGACTCGCATGTAGTTAACCACAGTTCAAGTACCAGACCCAGTGGCTTAAAGTCACTCCAGGTGCATGTGTGTGCATGTCCAAGATCCCGAGAGGAGAAAGGAGGAGAAGGGATTGTGGTGTGGCCATCCCCCTGGGGGCAATTTCTCACTTTCTGTCTCTCTGTCTCTCTCTGTCTTTCTGGCGAGTGCACGTGCCCTATAGCAAAAACCTCTCTCTAAAAAAAAAAAGAAAGAAGAAGAAGAAAAGAAAAGAAATCGGCTCACACAATTTGCGCATTCAATTTGTAAATCTCATGGAGTATTTTGGTAGAATGAAGAATGAGGGAAGAATTACAATTTGTGTCTGGAGGCAGTCTGCTAGTAGAATATATGTATAACACAGATGTATTATTATAGAAATAGAAATTTTAAGCAATATAGAATAATACTTTAGAATATAACAATTCTTAAAGCTCACCAAATAGACGGTAACCTTATCTGTAGACCTGTACCTGCTGTTCTCCATCTTTCTAAGACTGAATTATTTTCTGCTCCTTTTTCAGGTTCCTCTCTTAAATTGGGTTACTCTATTGAATAAATATGGAATATTTTATGACTAGTTATGGTAAACGTCTTTTTTCTCTGTAGTCTTGTCTCTCAGCAAATGCTCTATGCTTTGTTACAAATTTACAAAATTTAAAAACAATACATTTCTAGTTTTTTAAACAAAAGTCATGTGTTATTATTTGGGTTAGCCATCTCAAAGGACAACAGCAATAAAGAAGCAGTTCCCTTAAACATTCTGCATTTGAATTTTGCCATAATTTGAATGTGTCTCCACCCCCCAGTAGTATCTGTGGACACTATCCCCTATGAAACAGTGATGGGAGGTGGAACCTACTGGGAGGTGACGGCTGCAAGGGCTCTGCACTAATGAATGCATTAATGCCATTATTGAGAGAATGGGCTCCATAAAATGATGAGTTTGTCCCTCTTTGGTCTCTTTCTTTCATCCTCTCTATGTCATTATGCTCTTCTGTCCAGGAATGACACAGAAAAAAAAGGCCCTTGTCAGCTGCCATCACCTTGATCCTAGACTTCCCAGGCTCCTGAACCTTAAGAAATGAATTTCTGTTGTTTATAAATTACTCAGTCTCAGGCATTCTGTTATAGCAGCAGAAAACGAGCTAAGACAGATTTTCTGAGATTTTGCAGTGCCCTAAAAATAATCTGTAAGATGATAATGATACTAACAGTGGTGATGGTAGATAGAGTGGTGGTAATGGAAGACTAGGATACCATAAAAAAAAGTTGACATAGGAATAATTTCTAAGCTAATGATATTAAACATAAAGTGTCATGATTCAACTTAAGTTCCACCATTTAAGATGACAATATTTAACATTTCATTTCAACCATTTAAATTTTCTAGGTTCTTTTATGCTAAGATAAAGGAGTTACTTGCCAAAAATTAGGTTGCTGACCAAGTACTACTATCTTGTGCCCAAGATTAAATCATGTAAAACTGGTTGCCAAGATAAAATAATGCTAAGCTGGTATTGATGACAGAGCTCCTCAGTCATGTCACCCTCAGGGCTCTGCATAGTTAGCTAGACACTTCACACGAGGGGTCGTATGACAAGCCAGTAAGAACACTGAAGGGACTTTAGAACTGATGTCTTCCCTGAGTTAAGTTTGTCTGCACAAAATCATCTCTTTTGTGATCTGCATGCCTGCCATGGTATGTGTTCCCCCAAAATTTAGGTATTGAAATTTGATTGTAATGAGATTAAGAGGGTAAAATTTTGATATAATTACAGTATTGAAAGTGAGACCTTTGAGAAGAGAGTGAATATTAGATGATTAATTGGGATGAGGTCCTCATGACCGACTCCTGGTGGGTTGATAAGGAGAGGGAATGACAGAACAGAGAGACAGGCATGAAATACAGCAGTGCATGCCCTTTTTCTCCCACAGTGTGACACTCTCTTAGTCTTGGGATGCTATAAGTAAGACAACCCATAACAAGTTCACCACATGTAGTCCCTAGACTTTGAACCTCCAACTGTGAGCTGAAGAAACCTCTATTCTCTTAAATTATCCAATCTTAGGTGTTTCTGTTTTTAGCAATGGAACAGATGAAGACAATGCCCACACAAAAAATAATTATGACTTTAGGATGTAGGTCTCAGATCATAAGACCTCCACTTCGCTTATGATCCTGTACACGTTATATATGGCACTAACAAGGATTCTTTCTTACAGACAAGTAGACAACTCTGGAGGAAATTATTGTGTTTCATAATTATGACTGTTAGTTTAAACTCAAAACAACTACTGGATACCCATGTGAACATTGCCTGTGTGTAGGTATCTGTAAGCTAAATCTGAATGCAGGTCATGACCAAAAAATTATGAAAGACATAGCTTTAAAGGAAAATCTAGCAATGGTATTGCTAGTAATGAAAAATTAGATTCTAATTCAGTTGTTTTTATTCACACATTCTTGACCTGAGAGGAGAAACAGAGCTCAACGGTCACATTAATCATGGTCCTAAGAAGGGTAAGTAATAGAAGAGTAAGACTGCATTAACATGGGTTAATGCCCATGGCAGTATGAGTTGCCAGACAGGTTAATGCCTATGGCAGTATGAGTATGTGACAGACAGGTTTGGAATAGGGACTGGTTATTTTTTCTCCAGAAGTATTATATCCAAGGAGGAAAAAAAGGGCACAGACTAGAAAAGGCTTTTAAAGAGACTTCAGTAGAAAAGGGATGAGAAAAGGAAAAAAGAGAATGAGTTGATACAAAGAAGTAATTAAGTGCTTGTCAATGTCCCCAACCCGCTACACGTGTGTATACCTGATGCCTGTGTGTACACATGTACACACAGATTGTAGGCACCGTGTTCCAACCCAGATCTATTAAATTGTCTCTGGAGAAGTTGGACAATTTAGAATTTCACAACCAGATCCATAGATGTTTGTCAGGATGCCATATTATGCAGAAAGGAATGTAGGCCTAGAAATAAATATTCATCCTCAGATGATGAGCAAATTGCTCACATTTCTTGATGTGCAGAAGTAGAAACTTACTTTGGGGATAGATAAAAGTCCACCTACTTACTAACAAGTCTTTCAGATGAGAGTCTAAAATGTTTAAATTCAGTAGCAGTTGTGGAACTCACAGCTAGCAAATTGGCCATTTTGTAAGTTGAGAGTTAAAAAGACAGTTGAGGCTGAACTGTGTTCTCCACAGTTTACATATTGAAGTCCCCACTCCCAGAAACTCAGATTGTAACTGCTTTGGAGCTGGGGTCTTTAAAGTGGTAATTAAGATTAAGGCCATATACGTGGATCCTAACCCTGTGACTATATTTGTAGATAGTACCTACAAAAAGATGATTAAGTTAAATTAAGGCCAATAGAGTAGGCCTAATCCAATATGACTGAAGTCTTCCAAAGAAGAGAATGAGACAGAGTGATACATTCACTCAGAAATAAGTCTATGTGAGGACACAGCAAAAAAGAGGTTATTTGTAGCAGGGAGAGTCCCTGAAGAGAAAGCGAACCTCTCAGCACCTTGATCTTGAACTTCTAGTTCCAAAGCTATGAGAAAATAAATTTTGGTTGTTTAAGCTATTTAGTCTGTGGTATTTTATTATGGTAGCTCCTAGAACAATAACAGTAAGAAAAAGAGAGATGATAGCAGAATGCTCTGTGATGCTGGAACCACACAGGAGGTCCTAGGTTCGCACCCTGAGGTCTCACTGTACATTCCAGGATACATGTGCCTTTGATCAAGGCTGGCTGAGGATGGGGGTTGTTCATGGTGTGAAGACCCTCTGTGGATTCCTCACTCTCTCTCTCTCAGAATAAGAAACTAAAGGTAAAAAGAGAGAGGGAGAGAGAGAAAGAAGAGGCAATCAGAAAAAGTGAACAAAAGAAAATTACTTCAGACTCTAGAATGCAGATAAGCAAGGCAATGGGTTGTGGAATGACGTAGCATAGCAAAGTAAAACTTGTCATTGACAATTCAATAGATGCTGCTCTCCCCCAAAATACTGGCAGAACTATTACAGAATGTGCACAGCATAATGAAACGTTCAGTGTTGAAGATGACGATGTCTCTATCTGTGACTTGGTGATTTTATACCGAATACATGTTATGAAAAACAATAAGGTATCCCACAAAAGTTATATACATTTTAAAATGTTCATAAAATAGCAAACATTATATGATATTAAAATGTTATATTTGGGGCTGGCAAGTGGCAAGGTGGTTAAGGGCATTGGATTCTCACATGGCCGACCCTAGTTCAAGTCCCAGACTAGTGGCTTATTTTCTCACTTTCTTTCTCTCTCTCTGTCCCTCTCTGGACAAATTAAAAATAAATAAATAAATAAAGTTTGATAACATAATTCTTTAAAAAAGTTATATTTTACATTCTTAAAATTTTGCTTTTAATTTGTTTTACATAAAATAACAATATTGAAATAGCAACTTTTTTTTTTCCTAATAGGAAATAGCTTCACATTATGCCAGTAAACCATTAAGTATATTCAAGGTGAAATGTAATAGACTGTGAGTTCATTGTTCTTGGCCTAGATATTTGTTACTCAATGTAAGAAAGCAATTAGGAGTAACAAAGCTAAATCAATTCCTTGTGTGACTTTTGTTGACATTGTTTACATAGATAACTTTTCCCTTTTGTTAATGAAAAGTATTTTGAATGTAAATAAAAAGTTAAAGTTATCTTAATGTTGGTAAATCATCTACAAAATGTAAAGAAGTATTAATGACCTTCAAAAGACCTCTTAAAACTTTAGGATGAATCATATGCTTCAGAATTTTGTTTGCTTTATCATTTTTCTTATTTTTTATTTGTGAATAAAATAAAGATTCTAAATATATACTTTTAAAATGACAAATATCTATGAATATTCTTCTTTCAATGTTTCTGTATAGAAATATTTCCCTTTTTTTCCTTCATGGCCACAGTCCTATTTCTTCTATATCTCTCATTTTAAGATTACTAAATAGGCAAAATGAATATTTTATCATCTATGCAAATATTTAATAAGCAATACTCTTTATTAATAAAATATTGTCATGTTCCTGATGTTATGTCATTTCCATTCTACAACTAGAGAAGCTAACAGGGAAAGGAGAATTAAGATGATCTAGGCCTCTTCAGCCTCCTTGAACAACTTCTTAGGATTGTTGACTCCTCAAATCTGGCTTACTGTGACATCGCGTCCTTGCAGAGACAAAGTTAAGCTAGCTGAAAGAAAGAAGTTAAAATTTTTAAAGTTTTTAATATGACAAGGCTGTGCAACAGTTGCTATTGCATTTCTTCTTACATTGTCCTCAGAACAAACATTGTGAAGTAAGGTTAACATGAATTTTCCAAACAGAAACTGAAGCTCAAAGAAATTAACAGTGGGGATCCTGGTCTATTGTACTGTAAAATTCATGTTCCTTACGCCATTTTCAAAGGTGAGATATGCCATCATAGACTCAGGGACACTATAAACAATTGTTACATTTAATCCCTTCAACAATTTTGCTTACCGCCAAATACTGTGGTAGGTACATGATGAATATAAATTTCCTTACTTTTAAAATGAAGAGGGAATATTCTCTTAGTGGTCTTCAAACTGTATTCCCCAGCATTCTGTAAGTTTCATGGGGTAATTTCAGGGCAGATAATGTGTTATTGTGGTATCTCCCCTCCTTAAACAGAATAGATCTTTATTGTTAACATACTGACTTCCTAGTGAAAAATAATACTCTACTGGTTTTGAGAAAGACTTAAAACTATGCAACTAGATGACTTCTGAAGTGTCTTCCATTTCTGTTATAAATATAGTTTATTGTCTACAAGAGTCTTGCAGTTTAGTTATAGAAACCAAATGTAAACAAATAAAAAACAGAAGTAGTCTTCAAAGGCAATCTTGACTACGCATCAAATAAATGTGCCTGGTGCTTGGGAAAGATGGTTTCCCAGTGGGCTCAGGTCCTATTTGGCATAGTACAGGTGATTCCATCTGTGCTGGGGATTGCGGGAGCTTCCTTCTACTGCTACTGCCAACAAAGTGCACACCCTGGACTTCTCTTGCTCTAAAAACATTGTTAAAGCCAATGTTATGAAATTTAAAACGTAATAAATGTAGACATAGAGTATGATTTTTGAATAATTTACATCTCTATCTTGTTAAAAACAAAATGTTAAACAGAGAAGAGAAAGGAAAGATACACTCAACCACCTACAAGATAATAATGAGAGAAACAAAGTTAACTATCAGATATTGAATACTTTGTTCATGAATCACTCTTCTGATACAAAATCACCTTTATGAAAAATAGTCTTTGTCTTTATTTTCGTTTGTGAGTTATTGGATTTGAAGGGCTCATGAATACATCCCATATGAAGAACCAAAGGTGAGATAGGTATAGGAGCCCAGAAGATAGAGATAAATGCCAGTTTATACTGGCAGAGTTACGTTTCTTTGGCTCCTTAGCCAAGTGGACCTGCTGAGAGTTTAAAAGTCATAGTTGGGAGGTTATTTATTACTGACTCAACCTCATTGCTTGTTATGGACCTATTCAGACTTTCTATTTCCTCCTCACTCAATCTTGGTAAATTATGTGTCCAGGAATTTGTCTATCTCATCCAGGTTTTCTTGTTTGTTGGCATCGAGTCGCTCATAGTATGCTCTAATGATGTTTGGTATTTCTATTATGTCTGTTGTTATATTGCCTGCTTAATTGCAAATTTGATTTATCTGGTTCCTTTCTCTCTTCCTATTTATTAGTCTAGCTAGCAGTGTTTCAATTTTGGTTATCTTTTCAAAAAATCAGCTTTTGTTTTCATTCATTTTCTGTATAGTTTATTTTCTATTTCATTTATTTCTGCTTGAATCTTTATTATTTCTTTTCTCCTGGCATTTTTTTGGACTTTATTGATGTTGCTTCCAGTTCTCTGAGGCATGATGTTACGTTGTCCATTTGCCAACTTTCAATCTTTTTCTTATGCACACCAATTGCTATGAACTTCCCTCTCATGACTGCTTTTGCTGTGCCCTGTAGATTATGGAAATTAATGTACTCATTATCATTGGTTTCTATGAATCTTTTTGGTTTCAGTCTTAATTTCTTCAGTAGCTGTCACTGGCACTGAGAACATCCCTTTCTCCACTACCTTACCCCACAAAATTATTTGTTCCTGTAAGTCTTACTGCCTAGCTGTTAGCGCAAGAGTTACATATGATTTCTTCGGGGAGACTAATCCTTTTCCCACTCACCCATCAGAAATGTCATCCCTCTTTTAGAAGAAAAAAGCCCACTGACAAGGACTAGCTAATATCAACTTACTGAGTCATTTGGTCTACTGGGGTTTTTGGTACCTTTTCCACAGTGGGTGCCTTTTGCCCTATAAGTAAACTAAATTCTTCTCACTTTGTACTCCCACATGTCTAATAACATTTCTCTACTCCATACTTCCTTGTCTCTTAATCCTTTTACTTCCAGGCTCCTGACCCTTTTCAGGAACCTATACTTACTCTCACCTCCAGCCACTTACATTTCGAAGTGGAGAAGACCAAGTGAACCATTTGTTGCCTCAACCATTAAGAAAATTTTCCTATCTTTTTTCAATGTTATCTGTAAATATGAAGTATCTTCAAACAGTTCATGGTAAATGATTATTTTGAAAAAATTTATGCATGGATTTCGATTTTTTTGCACTAAAATAAAACATACCTCATTTTCATTTTCCATGAACTTTTTGAAGTCCCTTCCATATTACTGTAATGCAACTACATCTATTTTTAACTTGTACCCAAATAATGATCCAACACATCCTTATACCAAATAGCAACTTTTCCCTCCTTCTTTAGCTGGTAATTTAGGACTCTTACTGTACAGCTATGGGGATGAGGGTAACCTGACTACCTGATCATGTAGCTTATTTGTGCCTTTAGTCCTGCTTGAGCATAATACCTGATGTATTATTTCTGATTTAAGATGAAATTCTGGAGTGTCTGTCTATGTTTATGACAAGTCAAGCTCAAAATGCAGTTTTTGGTGAACATTTCAGACACACAATCTCATAGTATCTACTATTGGAACTAAGCAGGTACCTACAGCAGATATGTTCATGTTACCCTAAAATGCTTAAGCTGAAACCCTAATCCCCCATGTGATGATATTGAAGATAGTGCTTTCGGAAGGTAATTAGGTTATAAGGGTGGAGCTTCCCTGGCAGTATTAGTGCCCTGTGACACTTCTCATGATTGCTAAGACGTGGAACCAACCCAAATGCCCCCATACGGATGAATGGATTGAAAAACTGTGGCACATGTACTCTATGGAATACTATTCAGCCAAAAAAAAAAAAAAAAAACCTGGCTTTTGACAGAAAGTGGAAGAATATGGAAGATATACTGCTGAGTGAAGCAAGCCAGGTTATGAAGGAGAGTCACTGTATGTCCCCACTTAATATATACTGAGTGTCCACACTCGATATCTGAAACTGATGGACTAAAGGATGTACAAACACAAGAGATGGGTGTGAATGCCAGATGTGGTGTGTGTGGAGGAGTCGGGCGTGGGGGAGGACATTTGCAGGAGGGATACGGAGACAGAGAATTGTCACGACAGGGAGGTAGTGTTATAGTTTGATCAACTGGACCGGTGAGAAATGTTCACATACTGAAATGTTCAGTTTGTAAGCTAAATAATGTGATTGCATGTATAAAAACTGTAAATAAATAGATATTTTTTAAAAAAAAAGAGACATAAAGAGCAGTTTCCAGACCAGAGTATTATGAGATCACAACTTTTTATCAGGGTACTTGCCGTTAACCTCCTTCTTTGCCATTCAGTCCATCTTCAACTGTAGATATCAAACAATGCTTTTAGTGGCTACCCAATGATATGCATCTAGAAGTGCCATATTCTATTAACCTTGTTAACAACATCCTTTCACTCTCTTTTTCTACTTGCTATGATAATGTAGCCCCCAGGTTTTTTTCAATTAAACTCAGCCTCCTGGCCTCCTTTACTTAGGTACTGGATCCTCATCCACATAGCAACTCTGTAACGAACTCTCTTACTGTCACCCTGGCCTGAGAGGAGAGCCACAGCTGAACACCTTAGTGATGCTGGTGACTTCTCACTGGCACATTTTTGAATATCATAGTGAATGATATATTTCCGAGGTCTTCCAATTAATCATAATTTTCTAGTGGGTTTCTGGCCTCACATGATCTATTCAAGTCAGTATGTCCACTTTCCTCCATCCCTTTATTCCTTCCTCTTCTGTCTACCAGGAAAACTCAGGTTGGCATCCAGGCTGCCCCCTGTAGGTTCTCCTGAAGGGTTGGTAAAGTGTATCCCCATGTTTTCCACATTAATCATTAACTTAAAACTTTTAGAAATTTAATTATGAAGTGACTTTTAGAATTTTTAAAAGATCCTAAAATGTAAGCCCAATGATACAGAGATTAGAGGATTCAGTTTAATATAATGGAAGCACACGAGACTAGGAGTCAAGAGAATTGTGATTTGGTTGTTTAGAGGAGGCAAGGTCACTGTGGTCCCCTAAACCGCCATTTTTTCAATCAGCTAAATAAAAATAATCTCTTTTCTAAATCTAGAACTTGTCATTAAGAAAAAAAAAATAGGTCATTAGGAAAACCATGATGTAATTTTTTTTTGTTTTTCTATTTAAAAATGTGTCATGACTTTCCTCATGCCCCAGTACTTGGAGCCAACATATGGCATGGTGGTTAAGGTGTTGAACTCCCACATGGCCAACTGTGGTTTAAGTTATGGCTCTAGTGGCTTGCTTTCTCACTCTCTCTCTCTCTCTCTCTCTCGCTTGCTCGCTTGCTCTGTGTCTCTACAATGAGCACATGTGCCCTATAGCAAAATTTAAAATAATGATAATAATAAATTAATTAAATAAATAATTCTAAGGAAAAGAAAAACACTTAAGGGGAAAACAAGTATTAGTAGTTATTTATGTTCTATATATACAATTATAACATTTAAAAACATAAGCAGTTACAACCTTTTAATATAGAGTCCATATGTTTAAGTTTATATCTGCTGGTTGGAATTCTGCCTTTGCTATTTTTTGCAAATTATCTTGGGTTTTAAAATTAATTCATTAACTTTATTACAAATCAACAAATTATATATGTATTTATGTGGTACAAAGTGATGTTATAATTATAAACATAGTGTGTAATAATTAAACTAAGTTAGCTAACTTAT